ATGACGTGGACATTGACTTTGTTACTTTGTTGACATAGTCATTAACTTTGTTGATATGATAACTTTGACGGATAAAATTAGTTATCAAATTTTTTGTTGTTAAAAATATTGATGTGGCCTTTAATCTTAATAACATGGACATTTACTTTGTTGACATAATCATTAACTTTGCTAATACAATAACTTAAATGAATAAAATCAATTATCAAATTTTTTGTTGTTAAAAATGTTGACATGCCCATTGACTTAATGATGTAGACATTGATTTTGTTGATGTAATTATTAACTTTGTTGACATGACAATTTGGATGGATAAAATCAGTTATTAAATTATACAAGTGGTTTGTATACTTACACGAAATTTTAGTCCCTTTAATATAATTTTACAAAAATTTATTTTTTAACAAATATAAATGTAATCTAATTATAAGTTTTGAATTGGAATATCATTATTTAAAGAAATTTCATTGATATTTAACAAATTAAAGTAATTTTTGATAAAGAATCTATATATCTTTATAATCGTTTAACTTTGATTAGGCTTTGCAAAATAAGTTTAAAAATTTTGAATATTTCAAAAATTTAAATATAAAGATTTTATCTTTTAATTTGGTATTAAAAATTTAAATTTCAAAAAATATATACTTAAGGATAAATTCTTACTATATCTTATTTATATATATGATTTGATTAGTTAATAATATAATTGCAAGAGGTGTCAAGGTAACTTTAAATATCAAAAGAGAAACGAGTAATCAGTAAAGATCAAAATGAAAATTTAAATTTTAACCATTAATTTAAGTTTCACTTTATCCATATCAAATTAAACTTCCAAAACAAAATCTTTCAAGTTAAAAATTTAAATTTTAACTGGTATTATTTCTATTTGACTTTTGATTTCTATTAATTTTTAGATTTTTCTTTTTATTCATTTTTCTAAAAATAAATTAAAAAATATCAATAAAAAACAATTCTTAAATTGTAAATTAGTATACCTTTCCACACATTCGTTGAAAAAGGAAAAACCTTTCCACACATCAAATAGGAGCATAGAAGCAGAATCAAAAAGCAGGTAAATGCCATGAAGCACGAATTTAGTTGGCATTTTAACTCATTATTTTTTTTAAAATTTTAATCTACCCTTAATCCTTCTATCTCGATCTACTTAACTCAATTAGAGAGGATTTAAAAAAAAAATTAAATTAAATGTATTTCTATTGCATTTTTTGTCTTTGAATTAGCTTATTTTTATGTAAATATGAATGTTTGCACTTTTTTTTATCTTATAGTCAAATTTGAGAAAGATGAAAAAGCAAGGATCACCAGCATAAACTATATGGTCACAAAAAGAATCAATTACTTTTGAAGGGCTTAAACTTTTAAGTGTTACATTAATTGATTTATATTTGATGTACAAATAATGTATGCATTTCATACACTATAAATAAATTAAATGTCGTTTCTTATAGTTATAAGATAAGATTTATTGATATAAATGTTTATGTAAACAGTTTTTTTTAAACACGTAACAACATTCTTAAATTTCTCTTTAAAATGATAGATAATAAATTTCCTAATTTAAAATATTTATCAAAAAATATATATTTAAAAAATTATTGAATTATTCAAAGCTTTTAAAATTTAAATGAAAAATCAATTTAGATTTAAAATAATTAAATAGATAAAATTATTTTTTATAAGAAATTATTTAGATTAGTTCAATGAATTCTTATTTTTTATTTATGAATTAAATAAATATATATAATCATTGGTTATCCAAATCTTTTTAAAATATATTTATTTTAAAATTTTTTAATTATTCAAAGTCTTTCTTTCAATTGAAAAAACCATTTTTTTCTATCAAATATACTTTTAGATTAAACCTCTTTAAATTACCTGTTCAAACCTGAAAGCACACTCAAGTTTTGAAAGGGTTTGAGCAAAATATTAAAACCCGTTAAGTAGGCTTGGGTATAATTTTTAAGCTCATAACTTTGGAAAAAATTTTACAACTCATGTTCGATTTAGCCCGACTCGAATTCATATATATAATTTTTTATTTTTATATATACGTAAATTATATATAAATTAATTAATATATATTAAAAATAAAATATATATATACTTTATTAAACTTATTTTTTATTTTTATATATATGTGAATTATATATAAATTAATTAACATATATATAATTTTTAATTTTTTATATAAATTAAGTTCAATTAGTAAGTTTGAAATATATTTTTTTTAATTCAACCCAAATTTAAGAAAATTATGAAACCTAAAATTTCGGATCAAACTGAATATGAATAAGTATATAAGTTATTAATATCATATATAAGCTTAACTCAAACCTAGTTCAATCCAACTATGAGCACCTCTACTTTAGATGTATCTTAAAGGTTGTATTCCAAGAAAAAATTATAAATACAATCAAATATTTTCAATATAGTATATATTCATACTAAAAATTAGTAATAGATAAACCAAACAAATAAAACTAATATAAATTGAGTTGAATTACACTCGCATAAAATGTGATTTAATTAAAGATGATTTTTGATTAATCTAAATCAAAGTTTATACATGAGCTCTTACTGAGTTATGAAAACAAAAGAAAATTAGATGAATATAAAATAGAGATTATTGAACCAGAAAGAGAAAATGACCTCAAGAATGGTCAAAACAAGCATAGAAATTAAATAATTTATTTTTAAAACATTCATCAAAATTTTATGATAAATATGCACTACTTTTTTTTTTTTACAATAATCAAGGCAATAATATGTTTTTTTAAAATAATTTTTTTTAATAATTTAGATATATATATATATCTTTTAAAATTTAAAAATATCAAACATAATTTTATCTTAATAAATTTCATGATAACCTTTTATTATTTAAAAAAAAAAACAAATTTAATCTCTTCATAATTTATAAATAATTCCCTAACATCAATTTTTTTTTTTTCATTATTCTCCACTTTTATTTGTTTCTTTTTCTCTTTCTATGTTACAAAATGAAAGTCACAATTGAAGCAAATCTGTTGGCAGGGAAGCAACAGCAAGAGCTGAATCAGTTCTATCCCGTTCCTATTAGTATGTTTCAGCTTTTATGTCTCCTTCCCTATGGCGACCTTCGAGAATCAAATTTCCATCACCAATGGTATGGTATCATTACATCTCCCCATAAAATCAAAGCACCTAATAATTAACTTTAATAACGTACCCTTCTTTTTATTTATAAATGTACGAACTTTTTTTTTATGCAAATTGGTTAAGCTTAATTGCCTCTGTGAAGTTTTTACAGTGATGAAGAACAGAAGTTAATGCACACGAAACGTACATTTTTTTTCTTAAAATTTTTAGACAGTTGTTCACAAAAATTTCCGCTTATATGCAGCTTTTCATCATATATTTGCTACAATTATTAGTTTGATGCATCAAAATAAACTAAAACACTATCCTAAGAAATAAACTAGAACGATTGGCACGATTGTGCACGAAAAACTCTTATTTCCAACTGGAGCACACCGAGCACACCGATTCTTTTTTCTTTGCCAACACTTTTCCCAGGCGCTTCCAACGTTTTTTAATATATTTTCTTTTATTATGGGTTTTTTAATTTATTTTTTAAATTAGATTAAGAAGATACATGTAATGCACGAATTAATTACACTTATTTAATATAAATATATATATTTTTTTTTTCAAAATGATATTTAAATCTTTAAATTTTATATATATATAATCCATATATATTTACTTAACATTAAAAAATAAGCTTTTTGAAAATAACAAGAAGCAAATGATATATTTTTCTTTTGGATATTTTTGTTTATAGTAATATTTATACCGTTGCAATTATATCAAATAAAAATAAATTATTTCTTTTTTAAAAATAAAAATATAAATCATTGAATGACGAGTTAAATAATAAAAAGATATTAACATACTTTCACTTTTGTAATCTTAAATGAATTACTATACAAAATATGAAGAATACTAGGAGATATGTGAAAAAATTTTGAAAAAAAATTATTTTTCATGAGAAATAAATTACAATAATAATAAAATAAACCTAAAAAAATGTTATAAACAAAAAATAAATTAGAATAGTAATAGAACATTTTTTTAAATGTTACAAATTGAAAAAATAAAAAACTGATGTAACACATTACATTTATAATTTTAAATTTGTAAAAGAATTCTTTAATTGCAATCAAGATTAAATAGATTTTTTTTAAATTAATTTTTTAAAATTTAAAATAAATATAATAAATGATAAAGATGAAATCAAATTTTTTGCATATATTTTAAATATAAATTTGATATTTAGAGTTAAAATATATATAATTTTTTTTATGATCTTATTATTTAAAAATAATATTAATTTATATTTTTATTTACATTTTAATAAAATAAAAATAATTTGTGTATCGCATGAATAGCAGACTAATAATATTGTAATAAGAAGAAAAAAATTTGGAGTTGATTTAAATGCTTTAAACTTAATCATACTATCAATCCATTAAATATAAACCCTTAAAATTACATATTTTTATCTATTTGCAACTTTAAATATCGTTTTGGACTTTTTGAATTTGTTTTAAACCCCCATCTATTAATATACATGTCATTTGGATAAGTGTCACATGGTAAATTACATTCATATTTGGATCACATTTTGAGCAAATAACAAAAATATCGATAAAAAGCATTATCAAAATGTATGCAAAGGCCTGAAGCCCGAAGGTAATCGTCAGATGAAGAAAATATCAAATGCATGGCAGCTTGGAAGTTCACTTCCATTTTATGTCGAACTGAAAGTATTATAAAGAGCGATTGAATTCTAAGAAGCTTTGTAAATATATTTTTCATGATGATAATAAGAAGCCTTTAATTTTGGCTGAATCATAAAAGCAAATATATTTTTATTATTCATTAAAATAGTATTAACATATTTTTGGCTAATAACCGACAAGTTGTTTGGCCTTTTTTTAATCCGTAGAAAAGGCCTTCATGGCCAAGTCTTGAAGCATGTATGTATGGCTACCCTTGGCAAGCAGTTGGGATTTATGTGCCAAACTTGGAAGACGAGCTTGATTTGCATGGGACGGTGAAGGAATACGATTTCCACCATTGCCAGGCGCAGATGGTGGAACAAGTCCTCCCTTTGCTAGCATTCCGAAGTTCAAACCATGGCCAGCTTTGGTTGAATGAGGTGAAGGAATACGATTTCCGCCATTACCAGGCGCAGATGGTGGAACAGGCCCTCCTTTTGGTAGTACCCCAAAGTTTAAACCACGACCTGCTTCGGTTGAATGAGGTGAAGGAATATGATTTCCACCATTACCAGGCGCTGATGGTGGAACAGGACCTCCCTTTGGTAGTACCCCAAAGTTTAAACCACCACCAGCTTGGGTAGAATGAGGTGAAGGAAAAGGATTTCCATCATTACCAGGTGCAAAAGGTGGAACAGGACCTCCCTTTGGGAGCACCCCAAAGTTCAAACCACGAGCAGCTTCGGTTGAATGAGATGAAGGAATACGATTTCCTCCATTACCAGGCCCAGACGTTAGAACAGGCCCGCCCTTAGGAAGTACCCCAAAACTCAAACCATGACCAGCTTTCGTTGAAGGAGGTGAAGGAATGCGATTTCCACCATTACCAGGACCAGAAGGTGGAACAGGACCTCCCTTTGGAAGCACCCCAAGGTTCAAACCACGACCAGCTTCGGTTGAATGAGGTGAAGGAATACGATTTCCGCCATTACCAGGCGCAGACGGTGGAGCAGGCCCGCCCTTAGGAAGTACCCCAAAACTCAAACCATGACCAGCTTTCGTTGAAGGAGGTGAAGGAATACGATTTCCACCATTACCAGGACCAGAAGGTGGAACAGGACCTCCCTTTGGAAGCACCCCAAAGTTCAAAACACGAGCAGCTTCGGTTGAATGAGGTGAAGGAATACGATTTCCTCCATTACCAGGCGCAGACGGTGGAACAGGCCCGCCCTTAGGAAGTACCCCAAATCTCAAACCATGACCAGCTTTCGTTGAAGGAGGTGAAGGAATGCGATTTCCACCATTACCAGGACCAGAAGGTGGAACAGGACCTCCCTTTGGAAGCACCCCAAAGTTCAAAACACGACCAGCTTCGGTTGAATGAGGTGAAGGAATACGATTTCCGCCATTTACCAGGCTCAGACGTGGAGCAGGCCCGCCCTTAGGAAGTACCCCAAACTCAAACCATGACCAGCTTTCGTTGAAGGAGGTGAAGGAATACGATTTCCACCATTACCAGGACCAGAAGGTGGAACAGGACCTCCCTTTGGAAGCAACCCAAAGTTCAAAACACGACCAGCTTCGGTTGAATGAGGTGAAGGAATACGATTTCCACCATTACCAGGCGCAGACGGTGGAACAGGCCCGCCCTTAGGAAGTACCCCAAAACTCAAACCATGACCAGCTTTCGTTGAAGGAGGTGAAGGAAAAGGATTTCCATCATTACCAGGTGCAAAAGGTGGAACAGGACCTCCCTTTGGGAGCACCCCAAAGTTCAAACCACGAGCAGCTTCGGTTGAATAAGATGAAGGAATACGATTTCCGCCATTACCAGGCGCAGACGGTGGAACAGGCCCGCCCTTAGGAAGTATCCCAAAACTCGAACCATGACCAGCTTTCGTTGAAGGAGGTGAAGGAATGCGATTTCCACCATTACCAGGACCAGAAGGTGGAACAGGACCTCCCTTTGGAAGCACCCCAAGGTTCAAACCACGACCAGCTTCGGTTGAATGAGGTGAAGGAATACGATTTCCGCCATTACCAGGCGCAGACGGTGGAACAGGCCCGCCCTTAGGAAGTACCCCAAAACTCAAACCATGACCAGCTTTCGTTGCTTTCGTTGAAGGAGGTGAAGGAATACGATTTCCACCATTACCAGGACCAGAAGGTGGAACAGGACCTCCCTTTGGAAGCACCCCAAAGTTCAAAACACGACCAGCTTCGGTTGAATGAGGTGAAGGAATACGATTTCCACCATTACCAGGCGCAGACGGTGGAACAGGCCCGCCCTTAGGAAGTACCCCAAAACTCAAACCATGACCAGCTTTCGTTGAAGGAGGTGAAGGGATACGATTTCCACCATTGCCAGGAGCAGAAGGTGGAACAGGCCCTTCCTTTGGAAGTACCTCAAAATTCAAACCACTACCAGCTTTTCTTGAATGAGGAAGTGAAGTAGGATCATGATTGATCCCCTTGCCAAGCCCCGAAGGAAGAAGAGTTGCTGTCTTAGGCAAAACCACGAAATTCAGCTGTTGAGTATGGTGAGGTCTGGCATTGGTTGGACAAATAACAAAGCCTATAATTAGAACTACAAGCAGATAGGCAAAGGCAAACCTCATTCTTCCTATTGCTTGTTTGCTTATTTGCTTATAAAAATTATGAAAACTAATTTCTGATCTCTACGATTTGATAATTGATGGTTTCTTGCTCGTATTCTGGCTTTTTTGCACTCTTAAATAGGTGTCCAATTAATCTCATATTTGGAAAAAAATTCAAACTGAAGACCCCAAGGTTTTTCTTTTCTTTTTTTTATATCGCAATTTATTAATTGTTTTAGATTTTTTCCATATTTGACTTCACTAATGCCAAAACCATCATCACCCTTCAGTTGGTTTTATTGGAAAGTATTGGCTTTTTTTTTTTTAATTCTTTTAAAAATAGTTATGAAAAATTTTATGGTGATCGAGAGAAATAATCGATTGTTGAATATTCAAATTAAAAATTAACAAAAAGGTTAATAGTTTATCACTCCATTGATTACACGCAATTATTCGAATTCCGATTCCATTAGTTATCATAAATTTTCATAAATATTTTGAAAATTATTCAAATCCAGAATTTTTAAACTACTTTTGGAGTTATTTTGGAAAAAAAAATTCATACTACCGCACAATAGGGTTCAACACTTTCAGTTTGGTCAATGAAATTTGTGTGATACGTTGCTAACTATTTAAACTTGAAGTGTATCTAATTGGAACAAAATTTATATTAAGTTTTTAAGTAAAAATTTTAACAAAAATTTTAAATCAATAGATTAATAGAAATTAATATGAAAATCAATAATATATAAAAAGAAATTTGTTAAAAAAATTATTTATACTTTAAATGTATTCAATATTTATTCAATCATAAAAATTTTATTAATATTTTTATTAAAAATATTTATCTAAAAAATATATTAAAATTTATTAAAAAATTTTTAATTATGCACATTTAATTTATATAACAAGATATTTTAATTTATTTATTTTTATTTTTATTTTTATTTAATCATTTTTAACAAAAAAATTTCATCAACTTCATTTAAAAAATTTTATCCTAGTCTTTTCCTCTGCCCGAGTATTGTTCCCTCGAAAAGAAGCAGAATGTTCTCCCTCTCTCCCTCTCATTTATCGGGATATTACCAACATTTTTATGTTATATATAAAATCAATATATCTACTGTTAAACTTAAGCTTATCAGAAATTTTTTTTTCACATCATCAATTTTGAGCCGATTAAAAACTTAATTGAAAGCTGGCTCTTAATTAGCCACGTAGTCTGACTTGCACTGCTACTTCTTTCACAACAAGTGGAAACAAGTGCACCTGTTGTATCATCTTACAATGATCGGATTTGTCGCCACCTAGATGTTGTGGACAGGCTCACGAATCTCATGGTTATGAAAGAACGGATTCAGCCTGCCACCATTATTGTCGTTGGGGATCCATTCTGGCAAGTCAAGTGTTCTTGAATCTCTTGCTGACATTAACCTTCCAATGTGGCAGAGCATATTTACCAGGGTGCCTTTCATAATGAGGCTGCAAAATCTCCAACTTCAGTTCCGGAGCTTTTTTTGGAGTTCAATGACAAAATTGTTTATACGGATGAAGATAACATTGCTAACGCTATAGTGACACTGACAGCCACTGATGACTGATGAGATTGCAGACCATGGTAAGGGAATCTCAAATAAAGCCAGGAAAAGTGAAGCAAGGTGATCTTGGAGAGGTTGAGGTTGGAAGATCGTGTTGAGAAAGGTGGTGGATTGCATGGTACTTCATTGGCTTTTCCGCGTTCGAAACCTGGTGAACAAATATGGAGAAACAAATCGTAAGCAAGTTGATGGGTCCCAATGGTGGTGGCGGTATTCAGCTGAAGCTGCGGGAATCAGCGGTTGTTGCAGAAGCTTAACAGGAGCAACAGCTTGCTCACGGAGTCAAGACACTACTATTTTTCTTGTTTCTGCTTTGAAGTTAAATTTTACCTTTTCTGTCTGATATTTCTATCTTAGTAGCAAAGTCATGTGTTGGCATAGCCTGGTAAAGCAATGAAAGTTTCTGTTAGCATGGTCAAACCATTTCTAGATTTCTTCCATTTATGTTGTTTTATCTCCAAAAGAAAAAAAAAATTAGTCTTTGATGCTACAGCAAAGGACAATTGCAAAAGGCATTCTTTAGGATATATTTTTTTTAATCTCATCCCGAAAAGAATATCAACATGCTTGCTTCTATAAATTGCATTTAAAGGTATATCAAAGTTTGATCACATCTAAGAGGAAAAAATTTACATAAATGTCATCACTCAGAAGAAAATTCGATCACTCAATGTCGGGATATGATACAGTTTAAAATACTGATAATATCATACATAGAACCAAAAAATAGAAAGGTAGAAATATTGTACGGCTCAAATTGGTACATCAGGTTCATTATGGAGCGATTTTGTCCCTGAAACTCATCCTTTAACTTCAGGTATCCAAGAGACAGAGTTGGCAGATTATAATTTATGAAAATTTTGATGCCAGAAAATGATGTGAATGCCATTTGCACATGCACAAAATGGTCACTTACATTTCGATGTCTTCCAGATCTGGAAGAGGGAAACGAAGGATTGCTGCAATACCAGTCAGCTGTGCCAATTCTGTATATGATGCAAAAATAAGTAAGGTGACTTCAGAATATAATAGAACAACAGAGGCCAAAAGCAGCAAACTAGTACTCACGTTCTCCTGACACGTGCATAGACGAAAAAATGTGAGCAGTGCCCCCTGAATCCTTTACTGAGTTGACCAAATTGACATACTTTTGCCTTGTAACTACATCAGAATTCCTGAATGCCAAGTCAACAAGAAAAAGTAAACTAAATCATATCAAGCCTCTACTCCAGAAATTTCAACCACAACAAACTGACAATAATCTGTGAGTGGATGGACGTGAGAGAGAGAGAGAGAGAGAGGTCCTAAGAATTGACAGAAAATATTGAATAATACTTCTAACCCTCTAAGTCACTAATAAGTTCCACAAAAGCTATCCAATGATAGAGGTAATGGTAAGTTAATTTCTTAAGCATATGCAAAGTAAAAGATTCAATACATTTTATCCCCTACTACGCTAGTAAAGACATATATCTTGATATGTACAGCAATTTCTGACGAAAACTTTGTACAATTATCCATCAGTGCTTGTTGAATACGCAACATGAAACATTTGTGATGCTTTCAGCAAGTAAATAAACTGAAATGTATAGCAATTTGAGGGGGAAAAAGCACTTGTGTGCTTCTAATCAATCTCACAGTTAATTTGAGAGAGCATTGGCAGAAAAACCACACGAGATGAAAATATACTTATGTGCTACCACATTTCATTTAATCTATACGACATTCCAAACATGTTGAGCTGATCATATGATATAAATAACAAACCTGAAGAGATCGTCTGTAACAAGAAGTGTTTGAACAGCCATTCGTTCATGGGCAATCTCCACATGTTTGGGTCCATAGCATGCACGAGCCGGATCCTTTATAACAAAACTCATCCAATTATAACACAAGAACATAGACAGAAAGAAGGCAACTAAGTTTTAAGAAAAGCAATCAGGCCAATGTTTATCTGGCCAGCACATCCCATTTCCCTCAACTAATTGATATGGGCAGACATTTAAGTTGTGTACAATTGCAGCCATGCGCATGTGTGTGCATGCATTCATGCGTGTCTGTTTGGTAACTATTGGTGACACCTTGAACATCCATTATGACTCGTTTGTGCTGCTTCTTGACCCAATATATTATCCTTTCATTTGTAACTTTTTAAACCCTAATAGATTACCTAATTTTCAATTCTAACTATCAAAGGAAAACAATCTATTTATTGCAATTATATATTGGTTGTTGTATGAACTTCCAGCAGCCAGTTCACTAACTTGCAGCTGCTTAATGGCCATCAAAAGGCCAAAACCACAAATTAACTCACAACCCATCATTAAGTCACTCTAGTCGCTGCTATCTGGCTCTGCTTCATAATTAACCCTCACTTTCACCATATATTAAAAGATGAACCACATTTTGACTTACATTCTCTTGAAGCCCAAAAATACAGATTAACATAAATCACAGTATTATTAAGTCTTTCTGACCACGATATATAACCAAAAATGTGGAAACACACACATACACACCCCCATACATTTCTAAGTTAGAACCTCACATTTGAAAGCATGCTGAAGAAATCCTTGAGAGCTCGGACCTGTTAGAATTGGGGAAATGGAGAAAAAAAAAACTGCTGTCAAAAGAAATAAGTAAACCAAGAAACAATCAGTGAGTAAAAATAAAATTCTTAGCCAAGTTCGGATTCTACAACACCTCTTGGGCTGCTTTGGTGTCCTTTATCATGTTCATGACATTTGGGGCATCCAAAACTTCTCTCAAACTATGCCTGTATCAAAATATAGTCAAGTTACACAAAGATCCAGAATGAAATAGCATCAGTTAAAAAAATTATCAGTGCATCCAATTCTAGTGTTCTTAATGCATAGACTAATATATTCTATGCTACATTTTTTAAAATAGTTACTCTATGCAATGTAAGCAGGTAGGGAAGAAAAGCAGAAATTGCAGTCCACTAAGAATACAATCCAAGGAAATTCTCAAGACAGAGAATATAGACATCCCAAAATAATGAAACTGTTCTCAAGGCAGAATATAGACATCCCAAAATAATGAAACTGTTAGCTGCATAAACATGGAGCCCCTAGATACAGTCTTTCAGATGAGAGGCAAATTTCCTTCGTGCATTACAGTTGGCAGAGTAAAAACTAAAGGTGAAAGCAAACATACTTATATCCAGAGCTTGTGTGAACAAGAATTATTCGCGACTTATTCTCAATAATTGGTCTTAGTTGTCTTCTTTCTGCCTCCAACAAAAGATGACGATGAAATTGGTCCTGAAACAGATGAAAGAAAAAACAATGATAACAAAGCCAAATGTAACACATATCGTGTAAAAAGATGAATGCTGTAAACTTCTTTCCATGAGTTGCTGCCTAAGGAAAACTAAAACAATCATAATAGCAAAGCAATCAGAAATAAAATAAATAAATAACACAAGGTTTTGTCCCAGACCTTAGTGAAACCAGGACTTGCAATAACAGCACAGCGAACAACATTGAAATCAATATGTTTGAGGAAAGCCTATAACAAATGCACAAAAACCACTTAGGAGCCACATAAACTCACTTAATATCTAATAAACCAGAGAAATTACAACTCAAGTATAACTGACCTGTAGAACATTCTCAAAGAACTTCTTCAAAGCCTGTAGCGAAATCAACAATTACACAAATTAACAAGATAGAGAACAGAATCCGGTTCTCGTTATATGCTCTCAGTTTCAAAGGTAAATGGCTTTCTAAATCAGAAATAAATTCCAAATTAAGAAAAATAATAATAATAAGAGAAATACATACTGACTCATAACCGGCAATGGCAGGTCCATGCTTGCGAGGAATTGAAGTTTCAATACGTGAACGAGTACTTGTCACACTTTTGTACATGCCAGAGTAATACTAAAGTTAAAATTTTTTACACCATTACATGCTAAAGAAATTAACATTTGGAAGTCAAATATGCAAGTAGTAGACAGGAACTGGATCAAGGAGACATTGTGTTGTATCATATTCCCATGAATAATACTTTGAAATGAATGATTTCAACCAATATGAAGGTTCATGTATTTCCTAAATCTGCAACCAATGATTTCAGTTTGAAAGGAAGAAAAAAGAATAAAAGGAATAAAACCCTTGCAACCAATAAATTTTACTTCCAGCAAGGACTCATCACTTGCTCCCAACAATCTTCAACTCTTATTCCAAAAGTTTTTGCCAACAACTTACATTGTCACTTAACAAAAATTTAAAAAGAAAAATATACCTAATGACCCCATCTTTCTTGGAAGTAATGCTACAAAGCGGCATTTGAACTGTTGTCAAATCCACACTAATACAAACCTGAAAAGAAACTCATGTTCTTCTCCTCAAATGACTTCTCTAACCAACCCAGATCCCCTAAACTAAGCCAAAAGAATGAATGCACATATTCTAGGCTTCTACTGCTAAAAAATTATTTCCAAGTATCAAGGGCAAATTTGTTGATTTTTTTTGTTTAAACCTATAAGTGCTGAATGCTGAATAATTCCAGCTTTTCAAGAACCCTAAATGAAAATACCACCTAATTCAATTCCGACATGTGTAGGCAAATAACTTCAACCAAGACAAATTCAAGTATCCTAGCAATTGGCAATCACACCAGCAACTTTCCCACTATTTCTTTTCTAAAACACTTGTTTCACCATGAAAGGAAAATCGCCCAATTTCCAGAGCTTTCTATGTCATTTTTCTCTTTCCTAAAATTTGCGTCTGGACAAGGACGAAAGAGTTGTGGCTTTAGCTTTTGAAGTTTAAAAGCTCATGAATTTCGAGAATTGTAGAGTCCAAATCCATAATGGAAAGTTTAATGAAAGCTTTTTGTTTTTCTTTCAATATTTTGGTGGTTATGATAGCAATGACAGTGGCTTAGAATTAGCTACAAAATCAATCTTAATTCCACTTGAATTTGGGATTTTTTAATGGTCTCCCCTACAGTTATTATTGCTTCTTTGGTTACATTATTTTATGCATGTACAACCATATTCTGGGAAGTAATGTTTCCTAGCAATAAATGCTAAAAATGCTAAATGGTACATCACAGTTCAAAACTGTCCAAAACATAAAACGTTACATTCCAGCACAGAAACAATGCAGAATGGACAACCTTAATTCTGGCACTGACACCCATTCAAAGCAGACCAACCATATGCAATTCTTTTCTGGGGTTTTGGCCCATAATCATTCATTGTGTCCATACTTACTGATATTCTTCGCTATGGTGAATGTCATTCGGCATTTCCACATGATTTATACTTTTCAGAGCAAGAAACCGAGCATTGAATAAACAAGTGGGATCACAACGGATTAAATGATATTCCATCCCCCAGCCTTCAAACTTTCACTTGCTTATGGATACTAATTACTTTAGCATCCTTATCACTAAACAACTGAAACACCACAAAACCATCCCACAGATGTCAAACCCCTTTTTAAATGATTTTTTGAACATTAAATTATAGACTCTACAGATGTCATCCATCCAACAAACTAAACAGTGATTTCCAGACTTTATAACAATCACCTTACCGAGTACCTAAAATCAAGTTACTAAATTCATACTTCAAGTTAGTTACACATACCTTTTACCAACAAGCAAAATATTTGCTAGCCCTTCTTGCATTAATACCACAGCTAGATCGGCACTTGCACCAGGATCTGAAATATGATAAATATTAGTTACAAAGTTAAATCATATTTGTTAAAAACCTTTCAAATACAAAAATGATGTAACCAGAATTAGCATTACTCAAGTTAAGACACAGAGGACAAATTACAGAGCAAAATGAAGACACAAAAGGAGTAAGAAGAGAAATATCAAACCCTTAATCAATGATTTAGAAGAGAAAGACAGATAGACAAATAGACAAATAGACAGTAGGAATGCTATCATATTAAAATTTTTTGGTTAAAGTCTGAATTTGGTCCCTCTATATTTCAATTCTGCAGCTTTGGTCCCTCTACCAGAATTTTAATGGATTTAATTCCTATACTTTTATTAAAATGTAATTTAAGAACAACTGATAACAAAAAGAAAGATTTACAGGTAAATCAGGCCACGAGCCTTTTTTATTGATTACACGATATGCCAAGCTGAACTTTTTGACCACATGGTGCACATTAGTACCAAAAAAATTATTTTAATAAAAAATACAAAATTTTTTTTTTATAATTCTAAGATATTAATTATTATTTAATTAAAATAGAATATGATGTTTTTAGACTGATATGTGCTGTGTAGCCAAACAATTGTCCCACCTCAGGATGTCAGGTCATCATCAATCTGCCATGTCATCCAAGTTTGATATTTTGACATTGTTATCAATTGTCCTTAAATCAACTTTTAATAAAATTGCAGGGACTAAAGTCATTAAAATTTCTGTAGAAGGACTAAAACTATCAAATTGAGATAGTAGAAGGACTAAATTCAAACTTCGATCACAATTTTTTTGTCATCAAAATTATTCACCTTTATCACAGCAATGACATAAACAACAGAATCCTTAAGCATAAAACAGCATCTATATAATATGCATCAGATGCCCATGCACATAATGAATACAATTTAAGGCATAAGAAAAGACTACGCAACAATGGTAGCTGCCTACATAAGCTATCCGGGACAATATACCCTTCATCTTATACATGTAAACCAAAATCTGTCTTATATAATATCACCTCATAATCATCTCTTTCAACAATATTCAGTATTGGTACAACAAAAATCTATGTTTAATGATGTGAACAGAAAAACAAAAATAAATGATCCAGCTACAAGAAAAGATTAAAGAAACAGTGAAAAAAAAAAAAAAAAGAGGAAGAGATGTAATGCGAGTAAATGAAGGCCAAAATAGAGAACTAGTAGATAGAGTATTTTCAAATTTCAATTTCCAAAAATCAATTTTAATTTGAAAAAATAAGAAGTATTTATAGCACCAGCATTACACTAGTTGATAGAGTATTTTCAAATTTCAATTTCCAAAAATCAATTAAAAAATAAAATATTTATAGCACCAGCATTACACTATGTCAAATTTTATTAGCATCCAACATGAAACAAATCAGTGAGAGATCTCCCCAGTCTTGACTATAAAGCCACCACAAAACCCAAACTTAACTGATACATGATAACAACTCTAAAGCACCCTATGTATATGAAAGACTATCAACTGAAACAAACGGCCCACCATGTGAATAACAAATAGGGAAACAAGAAACAATTAAGAAATAACAAATGAAGCAACAACCAACTAAAGCACCCTATGTATATGAAAGACTATCAACTGAAACAAACGGCCCACCATGTGAATAACAAATAGGGAAACAAGAAACAATTAAGAAATAACAAATGAAGCAACAACCAACCTAGGTGATGACATGGTGATACAATGCTAAGACCCAGCTTAAAACCAATCACCACTAAATGAAGGAATTAGACCAAAATATGAGGCCATTACAAACCACCAACTTAACTGATGTAAGATACACCGGTATAGCAAATAAAGAAAACCTTCAAACAACTCTAATAATGAACACTTTGACCTTAGCTGCGAAGCTGAGATCCTTCCCCTTTCTTATTTCAATCAACAATTTAACCGTAAAGTGCAGATATGAACCAGCTAACATTTCTTTCATTCAACCCTAGATAACACTGCTCAGAAACCCTAAACAAGATCACAGCAATTTGCTATCAACAAAGAAGAAACAATGAAATCTGCTTTAAGGATAATAACAAATGTCAGATGCTTTCGTTTTGGAGTTGTACAGACAATTTGATAAGTCAGACTACATACCAGAGGCCTGTTGGAGTACATCTAATGCCAATGAGTCCCATATTTCCTAAAATATGAGGAAATTTCCAAAAGTCAGTGAGATTATCAAATATTTTGAGAGAGAGAGAGAGAAAACAATAAACTTTAAGGAGAAACAAAACTTGAAAAACTAGTAATATATAACAGCAATAAGACTAATAAGATAAACCAAAAGCTCTGAACAACATAATCCAAGCAACCAGCTAATGTCATGGGTAAACATATTCCAAGTAATCAATATGTCTCACATCCATCAATTCCAAAAGATGAAGGCTGTTCAGAAGGCTATAAAAGAAAGAACGGCTATGATGAATATAAACTAGAAGTGTACTCAGTATTTAGTGTTGCAATCAGGATAGGGTAGAATCATTCTTAAGATTTCTCAATGTTTTCTATTGTTGGTTATGGTACATTCCACATTCGCTCACTATCTGTTGCAGCATAGAGCATGGTTGTAACTTGAGTAAAACTAGATAACTGAGTCCTTTCCTGTTCTAGTTAGTTTTTAACTATCGGTTTCAGTAAGCTATTGTAATTTTCAAACGTAAGTCCATGCCAGTAGTAGCCTACGCATAGCTTAGGATAATGTAGGTATGATTGCTTATGTGCCTTGACATCTTTGTTTGCCCTCTTTTGGTATATTTGATCCCCTAACAATTAGATTTAGTTCAGCAAGTTTGCCTCTTCGTTACCAAGCACCTACAGCCCTAAAAATCAAATCTTTTTCAATACCCTTCAGCACTCATACAGTCCACTATCCCTAAACAATAAAATAATAACAAAATAATGTTGAGCATAAAAGATCCTGCATCCATCATACTCCTTTGATGTTAGAGGGCCTTTATTAGTGGTCCAAGAGTGGGTGATAATCAAGTTTGGCAGCTTCTACTGTTGAAACAGAAATCTGTGGGACTATGATCAGTAAAAGGCAACACAATTCCTCACTCTTTGAATTAAATAATGGACTTTTGTATTGGAAAATTTTAACAGCTATTCAGTTACAAACCTTTTTTATGAAAACAATTACCAGTAACAACACATACACACTCAAGTTGAAAAGAGAGGTCAACCATCATATGTAAACTAGACGCCAAACTCCAAAGGCCTAGACCACATAATCCTGTTGCTGACAGATTTTAGACAAGAAGACCAAGATTAGAGGCTGACGTAGGATTCATCCTTTTCCTTATTCCTTCACCCGACAAAAGCACCTTTAGAAGCTATAAATCTATATCTATTTTTCCAACTCTATTGTACCCAAATAGCCCTAGATACTACCCCCAGAACAGTCGTTTACTTGACCTCTATGTTAGAAGGCTACTTAAGCCACATAGACACAAAATACAAAGGAGAGAGCAAATAAAATAGGGATACTATCACATACAAAAGAGTATATATTTACAACCACATCTCTTATAAACAAAACTGGAAAGCAAGCTGAGATGTGTCACTGTTATCATTAGCTGCTCCTCGTTATGTATTTAATCTACATAAACTTTTAAGATAAGTGCTTCTATTTCTTTCAGCTATTCTCTTACAAATATTCTTGGTGATCTCCCTGCCTCCTTTTTAACACACACACCCAGAGACAGAGAGACACCTCTTCCACTAGTCACAAACCTCATTAAATTCTGTAACATGGCGTATCTCTAAAAAAGCAAAAACATGTAGAAAGTAAACAAATTGAGTAACATTTATACCATATCAAAGATTTTTTACTATATGGAAAAATGAAAGATATGTGCACAGATGAAGGGCAATAAGTAGAGCAAGATTCATAACTATCAACAATAGAAGCTTGCCTAGAGAATTAGGAGAAGATAACTAAAAGCATATGGTGTTTGTTGGCATGAATATAGCACCCAAAGCAAGTGGGCAAACAAGAAAAGATACACTGTTATAGATTATTCTAAAAAGGATAGCTACCTTTCTCAATACAAAAGGTCGATGAAGCTCAAGTTCTAGAGTATGGAATGCTCCTATCTGCAACAAGACAATAATGCCTTTAAAAGCCACAAACTAATCTACAAAATCGGACAAAATCCTATATGCACCTACCTTAACATGTTCATTCTCCAAGATGTTCTTTCCCCTTATACGCAAGACAGACCCTTCTTTGTCATAATCTATAGCCTAAAGAAACATGACATAATATCAGAGCACTAATCTTCATACATGAAAGCAGTTTCAAAAAAAATTCTTGTTTGATCGATTTAAACTAAATCATTAACCACAGAATTAAGAATCTGTTAAAACATATTGCCAGTTCAAACAACCGAGCAAAACTATCAATTGGCTGTGTTAAACAATCATGCCTCGACTTTTATTTCCAACTTCAGGGTAACACGCTCTGCATCTCTTCCACCGGCTGTCTCCCTTAGAACTTTCCTGTTATAGAATATGCATAAAACTAATAAGATTTTATATCAAGAAACTTATAAACATCAAACTTCAAATTTTACACACTACAAATACAATTGCAATTATAAGTTATGAACTAGCATGAGAAACAAAAAGGGTAATTGCTACAGGAAGAAGGATTTTTTTTTTATAATTTTCATCAACGTTAAAAAACATCATACTAACAGCTAATAATAATATTAAAAACAGAAGAAGAATAAGAAATTTAAACTATTTATACAAAAAAAAAAACTCTACAAAACCCTAAGTTACCCTATCCTTAACCATAAAAAGCAGCTAAATTCTATATATAAAAAAGTATATTACTACAAAATAATAAAAAAAAATACTTATTTAAAATATTGAGGAAAAAACCTGACGGTTCGAGCCATAACGCTATCTCCAGCAGCTATCAAATTGTAAACAAACCAGAGATCATCTGAATCCACTGGTATCATCTGCAATCAACAATTTTTCATTAAAAGAAAAGCTCAATTTCAACCAAAAAAAAAAGAACTTTTTTACCTTGACGCTGCCAGGGCCGTTGGGAACTAGGTCTCGCCGTACGACTTTCATGATTTTCACCACAAAATCTGCTTTTTTTTTTTTAATTCTCTTTGAAATTGATATTAAGTTATGCGAAAGCGAACTCGTAAGAATATAAACACGACAAGGGCATAGCAAAAAAATCAGATTTTTAATAAATATATGAATTATGAATAATATAGTACATTAGTTTTTTTAAGTTTTATAATTTTTTATATTTAAGATTTGTCAAAATTTAATATTAATTAAAAAATAACTCGATTAGATTGTAATAGTATTATAATAATTTTAATCAATTATAATAAAAAAATATTTTAATAATTATAATAAAAAAATATTATAATAATTTTAGTTAATTATATAAAAAAAAATATTAAAGTCAATTTGAATTCGTATAATTCAATTATCAAATAATTAAAAAAATATATTATGATTATTTATAAGAAAATTTATTTTATATTATTGTATGATATTAAAATGTAAAACAATTAAAAAGATATTTTCATAATTATACGAAAGAGTATTATAATAATTTTGATCAATTCTAATATGAAAAATATTTTTGTAATTATCATTAGAGAGGTATTATATGAAACAAACAAAATGAGGTTTTTTGTAATTATGATTAAAATGTATTATAATAATTTTAATAATTAATTATATGAGGGCATTTTAAGTAATTATGATTGTAAGAATATTATAATAATTTTGATAAAAGAGTATTTTAATAAGAGTGAGACTATTTATACCTTCACTTACTCTATTCACACTCGATTACTATTAACACCAATCCTTCTTTTGTTTACACTTTAAACTAAAACATTAATTTACTGAAAAGCTCAAGTACCTCACAACTTTCTTTTTTTATTTTTATCGAAAATCCTAAACTCTTTAGGAATTAAACCCAAAATCAGGCCCCAATCACCCATTTAATATTAGATAGTTTAAAATTATAGGTAAATCATTTATTTTTTTTTTGTTTAATTTTGTATTTAGTTTCAAAATATTTAAAATTTTAAATTTATGGGTGCAATTCGGGATAGTGATTCGAGCATTTCAAAAATGACTTTTTGAAAATTATTGAAAGTTTTCGGAAATGGATGTTTGAAAATTTCTTCAACGTATCAAAAATTCATTTATGGAATTCTTCAATAGTTTTCAACAGTTTTGGAAACCTTTGAAAAAATTTTGGCAATATATTTTCGAAATTTCTCAATAGATTCCGAATATTCATTTTCAGAATCTTTTAAAAACTTTCAAAAATGAATTTCCAGTATATAATAACCTTCGGCCACCAATAAACTAAATAACTTTTCAATACACAGAATTGACCTCATTATATCATTAGTAGACTAGCAAATTCGTCAATAGATACCTTTAATCTTTCAGTCATCAAGCACTATCAATTTAATAACATTTGTAACATTTTGCAAATTTGACAGATGTGCACCTTAAAGGAATCGTTAGGTGTGAAAAAGGCGTTCGTGCAAATTGACTGCTGCATCATGTGCGATAAAGCGACTGCACATTGCACATGGTGTAGTTGTCACTTACTCAAGTACTTTTCACAATTAGTAATTCCTTTCAAATGCATGTTTGTTAAAATTGATAACATATTTCAAATGTTATTAATCGAATAATGCTTGGCCAAAAGATTAGCAGTTTCTATTGCTAGATTTAAATATTGTATACATCGAAGAAATCATTATAAACCTATTTGGAGATCGTAGCAAAAGACATTCGATATTCTCATGGTAAACATTAATCAAAAAGATCACAACAAAGAAATTTAAGTAAAAAATTACTTTTGAAAATATATTTTTAGATAATTGTAATATTTTTCGAAAATGTATTTTTGGATATTTGCAATACTTTGTAAAATTGAATTTCTGGTATAGTTAAGAAGCTTTCGAAAATGAATTTTTGATATATTAAAAAATTTTCAAAAATTCATTTTCGATAATTTATTGACAATGAATGTAAAGGATAAAAAGATAATTAACTAATGAAAATTTAAGTACTTTTCTTATTGGTTAATTTTTTGGTGTGTATTGAGAGTTTTTTTTTACATGCAAATAGCCCTTATCTTTTAATAATTATGTTAAAGGGATATTATATTAATTTTTGTTAATCATAACAATAGAAGTATCATAGTTAATTTAGATACATGTAATTTAATTTTTAAATAATTAAAAGGGTATTATGATCATTTCTAAGGGATTAATTTCATATTATTATATAGATGTTAAAATTTAATGTGTAATCATGAAGTAATCAAAATGGTATTTTAGTAATTATGCTTAGAGAGCATTATAGTAATTTCGGTCAATTATAATATAAGAAATATTTTCATAATTATGATAAGAGAACATCATATGAAGTGATTAAAAGGACATTTTTTTTATAATTATGGTTAGAAGGTATTACAATAATTTTAGTCAAATATAATATGATAAGTATTTTTGTAATTATAGTAAAAGAAATATTATAATAATTTTGGTCAATTATGGTAACAAAAAAAAGAAAACATATAATTAATATCAAGTGCGTCTTACGAAAAAAATTAATTCAAAATTTTTTTTATTAAATATATTTTAAAATTTTAATTACAAAAAAAGATTAAAAAAAGGTAAAAAAAGAGAGAAAAAAAACAATTTCATATGAATAGGTCTCAAATATATAAAAAAAATATTTTAAAAATATAATTTTATAATTTTTAAAAGTACCTATTAAATAATTTTAAAGAAAAGTAAAAAAAATAAAATAAAATCCAAAAAATGACATGCGATAACCAAAAAGAAATGAAACTGTAAACTACACATCATTCAAACATGTTCCAAACGAATAAAAAAATCTTAATTATTTTTATTAAAAAAATTAAAAATGATAAAAAGGGAAAAGCAAAGAGAAAATTTAGCATAAGTGAGTCCTATACATAAAAATATAATTTTTATAAATATATTTTATAATTTTTAAAAAAATTATTAATTTTTTAAAAGGAAAAAGTAAAAAAAAAAAAGAAAACAAAACAAAATAAACAAAAAACAAAAAGACTAATCATAAGTTGACACATGGCACCTTAATATTTAAAAATAATTATTAAAATATAAAATAAAAAGCTTTTAAAAGGTGACATGTGACTTGGTTTGGATCATGTATTGTTTATTCATAAAGGACCAAAATTTTGAGGTTGTTTTGTTAAAAATAATTTTTGAAAAATTATTTTTTTCATGTGTTTCTTTGGTATAAAGCTAATTGATCAATTAAAAATAATTTACTGATCAATAGAAAATAAAGAATTTTTTTGGAAATTGTCCTCTCCTTTTGAAAAGGGAGATAATTTTTAAAAAGAAGTTGTTTATGAGTAAATTTATTTATCAATGTGCTTGATCATATTTTACTTGAATCAAACTTATACATGATTTTTAAGCTCAAACTGAATTTGACTTAACTCAAAATATTATTATATTAAGAAATAATATTTTTATTTAATTTTACTTAAAAAATAAAAATAAAAATATTTTTATATTTTAATTTTAAATATTTTTATAATTATATTCAAGTAATATTTTGAAGATAATGTTTTAAACTCGAACTTAATTTGTTTTAATTTGAAATATTATTATATTAATAAAAATATTTTATTTAATTTTAATTAAAAAATTAAAATACTAACACTAAAAGTCTTTTGATATTTCAATTTTAAATATTTTTATTTATATATTATTAAACATAAAATATTATTAATATTTCAATAATAAATAGTACTATATTATAATAATAAATAATAAGATATTTTTCTTATTTTAATAATTAATGTTAAATAATATAACAATATTATTTTATTAATATGAATATTTTTAATAATTTCTTATTATCTTTTAGTTTAAAATATATAATTTTATATTTTATTTATTATGGTATTTATATGACTATTTTAATAATAAATATAAATAAAAATTTTTTGTTATGATTTAATAATAGTTACTTTCAACATAAAATATAAATATTTTAATAGTATAAATATTATAATAATAAATATTAATATTTTAATATTAATAAAAATAATAATTTAGGAATAGTAATACTATTTTAAATATTTTAAAATATTAATATAAAGAATAATAAATAGTTTTATTTTAAGTATTTTTATATTAATATAATATTTAATATTAAATATTATTATTAAAATATAATTATTCTTCAATATTAATAATTTTAATAATAAATAGTTTCAATATACTTTAATAATAAATAAAATTTAATATTTTAATAATTATATTAATATTATTGGAAAAAAACATATTTTTCAAAAAATTATCAAATAACAAAAAATTATTTTCATTAACTCATTCAAATAACAACAAATTTTTACTTTTTCAAAAAATATAAATATTTTTCTAAAAATATTTTCTAAAAATCAATTTGTATGAAATAAATGGAGCCTAAATAATGGATCGATATTCAACTCTTGGCTTAATAGTTAAAGAGTTATTAAGACAACATAAAAATATTGTTTCGAACCGAAACTTCTTTCTCATCTCCAATCTGATATGCCAAAAAAGAAATATAATATTAAAAATATCATAAATTGTATTTTTTTGTAAATTATTATTATTATTATTAAAAATTAAATTTGTTATGAGAATCAAATTAAAATTTAAAAATATGAATAAATATTAAAAAGAATATTACAAAATGTTTATATATATTTTTCAAACAATGAAATTAACAGTAGATATGCAATCCATTACAAATGCAATAAAATTAATATATATATATATATTATAATATTTCAGCACAATAATCTATTATTAAGCCAATCAAATATCACAAAAAAGATTTGATATTTTTTCCTATGAAATTAAATTGATATGTGGTCCATTACAAATGATTAAAATTGTTAAAAAAATATTAAAAAATATTTTTCAATACAATAACATTATACACGTCGGTAACTATAATGTGTTATCAAATGTCAACGAAACATTAATAGGTGTTGGAATTTAAAAATGCTAGTGAGTGAACCGGCTTCGTCCGATATATTAAATTAATTTTTTGTATTTTATTTGTCAGAAATAATTTATTCTAAACTTAGTAATAGAAGTTTAATATAAAATTAAAATAGGAAATATTGTTTGTT